CTCACTGTAACGGAGAGGAGAGATGGGCTCCCCTCCACTTCAAACTACAGCCTGGTTGTGGCACCTGCCACACAGGTCTGTTCGGTATGAAGACCGATTTCTAACTGCAGGGTGTGGCACGAAGCTTTGGGGCATTGCCGTGGGCTAACAGGAATCTCACATTCTGGCTTTAAACGACTGCCATCCTTTTAGTTTTCCTCGTTTACCTCAGCCAACGTTAAATATTTTGTCAAGTAAAGTACCAGTGGTTATCACTTCACTCATGTCATTCATCTCTTTTATAGGAGGAAAAAAAAACGCAGTACTATTAAAATGCCTCTAACTACAATCTTCTTTAAGCTGATATTTCCTTAGGGGGAAAAAAAATCGCTAAAACCTTTCAAGGAAACATGTAATGAAAAAAAAAAAAAGGACACTAATGTGTTTATTATACTCCAATCCAAAGGGAACTATTGAAAAATTTTTCTGGGGGCAAATATCTACAGAAATCTCTCTGAATAAACAATAAGTGTGGACATCTTTTTTTTTTAAAACCCTCCATATTAAGCAACTTTTAAAGTTTCATTGCAGCTATTTTCCCCCAAAGCAATTTAATCTATTCAAGATATCTCATGATGCAGAAATGTCTCTTCTTTTAGTTAAGAATAAAAGTTAACATCTACCAACTGATGACTTGTTCCAAAAATTATCAGAGGCAAAAATAATAATATTCTTTTCATGCAAAAACCATTTGGAAGAAAAAGATAATGTGCTTAATGCTTCTAGCATTTCAAATAGACGAGGGTTTATACTTTTTTCCCCCCACCTAAGAAATGGGTACTAAGTGATGTAGAAGGATGTGAATCACTGTCTCCCTGATATTAAACACTCTGCTTTTTGTTGGTGGATGGGGGAGGAGATGAGTAGGGACAGATATGGACACGCCTTTACCTCTACATTGGAACATGGGGTCCCCTCATTATCCTCTAGAAAACAAAAGCCTACCATTTTGGTGGAAACTTTGTCAGAGCTTGGACTCAGTAAATGAAATGTCATACAGATCCAGCACATGCAAAGGACACTTCTTTCTGAGCCAGGCAACAAAGTAAGTTTCCATGCTTACCTTCTTTCTCGGAGCTCTGTCAAGCCTTAGTCTTTTATTTTTTTTTAAGATTTTATTTATTTATTTGTCAGAAAGAGAGAGAGAGAGCACAAGCAGGGGGAGCATCAGGCAGAGGGAGAAGTAGGCTCCCTGCTGATCAGGGAACCTGGCACGGAGCTCCATCCCAGGACCCTGGGATCATGATCTGAGGCGAAGGCAGATGCTTAACAGACTGAGCCATCCAGGTGTCCCAGATTTCACCGTTTGTTTTTTTTTTAAGATTTTATTTATTTATTTGAGAGAGAATGAGATAGAGAGAGAGCATGAGAGGGGGGAGGGTCAGAGGGAGAAGCAGACTCTCTGCTGAGCAGGGAGCCAGATGCGGGACTTGATCTTGGGACTCCAGGATCATGACCCGAGCCGAAGGCAGTCGCTTAACCAACTGAGCCACCCAGGTACCCCTGATTTCACCGGTTTTACAGGCACTCATTTGTGCATGTTTTCTGTTCTCTGCACACGTGTAAGTTCATGTGTCTACCACCACAGGCAAGAGACAGAAATCTACATCGCAGATTCCCTGTGCTGTTCTTTCCTAAGGCCACCCCCTCCATCCCACCTCCCACCTCTGCAAACCACTAGCCTGTTCTCCATCTGTAAGTTTGTGATTCTGTCATTTGTACTGTTTTTTTTTTTTTTTTAAGTTCCCATTATCACACCATAGCTGTCCCAATCCCTTGAAATTTGTTTGATTCAAATTATTGGCAGGGCTAAGGTGCTAACAGAGTCACAGAGAAGGCTCTTGAAACCTTTCCATTTGTGAAATAGGCAGTGAAAACTGGGAAATGCTTGGGGAGTAAAACTGAACTTGACATCTTTGCTATTGATGAGCAGACTCGTTTCAGATGTATTAGTCAAAAGACTACATACAACTAAGCATCTAAAACTGTGTCCTATTAAATGTGCTTAATTGAATGAAGATGTATTTAATAGAACTAAACAGTACACAAAAACTGGAGAAACATTACAGAGCTTCACTTCCCTAGGATATACGTTTCAATGTCACACTTTGGACAGGTGCATGCTGGCAAGCCCCTCTCTGTCCACCCCTGATTTTCTCTCTTCCTTAAACCCATTGTAACATACTCTTTTTGAGTCACTTTTTTTTTTTTAAGATTTTATTTATTTATTTGACAGAGAGAGACACAGCGAGAGAGGGAACACAAGCAGGGGAAATGGGAGAGGGAGAAGCAGGCTTCCCGTGGAGCAGGGAGCCCGATGTGGGGCTCGATCCCAGGACCCTGGGATCATGACCTGAGCTGAAGGCAGACGCTTAACGACTGAGCCACCCAGGCGCCCCGAGTCACTTTTTTTTCCTGGACATTTGACTGATTCTTTTTTTGTCACCCCTGCCCCCCATGTGAGCAGGAGGCTCTTTTCTTTTCTTTTTTTCTTTTAAAGATTTTATTTATTTATTTGAGAGAGAGATAATGAGAGAGAGCGAGCACATGAGAGGGGGAAGGGTCAGAGGGAGAAGCAGACTCCCTGCCGAGCAGGGAGCCCGAAGCGGGACTCGATCCAGGGACTCCAGGATCATGACCCGAGCCAAAGGCAGTCGCTTAACCAACTGAGCCACCCAGGCGCCCAGGAGGCTCTTTTCTAACTAGACTTTATCTTCTTTTCTTTAAATAGAGTTGTTGCTGGGGGCACCTGGGTGGCTTAGTTGTTAAGCATCTGCCTTCGGCTCAGGTCATGATCCCAGACTCCTGGGATGAGCCCCGCATCAGGCTCCCTGCTCAGCGGGAAGCCTGCTTCACCCTCTCCCACTCCCCCTGCTTGTGTTCCCTCTCTTGCTGTGTCTCTCTCTATCAAATAAATAAATAAAATATAAAAAAAAAATAGGGCTGTTGCTGTACCTCCAAAGAGGCATATTCTTTTGCTCAGACACAATTTTGATTTACAAAACTAATGCATTTTCTTGGTGTCTCCATCTTTATCACTTAGGATGCAGATAATGGTGTCCTTACATGCTGATGGAAATAGTTCTTTATCCTTTGGTTTCTGAAGTCTATGTCTTCATAAATCCCAGACTGTAGGCTTCAACTCAGAAAACCACCGTGATGCCGTATCACCCACCATGCATTTCACTTCACAACAGTTTCACCCACCCTTAACAAACAGCTCAGATACACATGTATCTATTTCCTAAGACATACAAATATCACCCAGTGATGTGCTGTCCACCTGGCTGAGAATCAACGTCTCTCCATCAATTTTAGTACTTACTTACAAACTGTAAACACAATTTTTATTCATATGTGGGGAAAAGATATATTTAAGAGCTAATCTCAAGTTTCACCCAATCAAGCAAGCTATATAATACAGATGAATTTTCAAAGCAACTTTGAATTCTTAAAAGTGAAATTAAAGTAAAAAGTAATGATAATTTTTGAAAGAGACTTAATGCACTCTTCCTCGGTCCTCTCATCCGAAAGTGAACAAATCTTCCCGATCCCACTGATGGAGTAACTAAAGATAAAATGAAAAACGAAAGGGAGATGAAGGGGTCTAGAAGTGTCCGCCGTGGATGATATATCATATAAAATTATGTTTCACTGTGATTAATAATATTTTATTTAATTGTTTGAGAAAGAAGCACTCCCATAAATTCCACCTATGCCCTGTGTCTGTAGCAAGTGTTCATTAGGCCAGTAGTGTTTTAAGTATAGTCCCCCACCCCCCCTCATAATTCATTGACTTTTAAATCTCAGCTGCTTTATTTATTTCTTCAAATTTAATGATATCTTTTATAGCTTTGTGCTTTCTACTAATATTTTCAATTTTATCACTTTTATTTCTTTAAACATAGTAAGCATAGGTTTCGTGGTCTGTTATATATTCAGATGTCTGATGTGTTTGCACATCTGGGTTTTTATCTATCTATTTTTTAATTTATCTTATTATTTTTTGTCAAATTTTTCTGTTATACAGTATCTTATCTTTGTCAGCAAATGTATTTGGGGGAAATAGATGAATAATTTGAGATTCCAGATTTAGCATTTTCCTCCACGGAGGATACCAGTCAGGGACCACCTCAAAGCAACATGCTGAGGTTCCTTGGACATTCAGGCATGTGGGTTCTGGAGCAGATGCATCATGTCTCACTCATCTTTATTTTGAGAGAGTAGACCTCTCAGGCTCCAGATTGTGGGAATGAGTCTTCTACCGGATACCCGCTCTTCTGTCCGCTCTAGCCTTTGATCTGGCTCTCTCTCTGCACAGAGCTATCAAAATAAAAGTTTAAGTTGGTCAAGATGGTCATATTCTCTCAGGATAGAAGTTGCTGCTTTATGAGGCTGCTTCCCTATTTTCTCACTGACAAGGTGTCCTGGTAAATCCTTACGACTTGTTTGATGTTTGTAAGATTTTATTTTAATATATATATTTTATCCTTTATGTTTTGTACTTTTCAGCAGGAGGTTTGGTCCAGATTACCTAATTGGCCACAAGTAAATTCAAAAGAGGGAGAGATTCTTTTTAATTATTTATACAGAAGTGAACAAATTCTAACCCAAAAGAGACACAAGTTTTTTATTTTCTTTCATGTCTCACCCACTCTTACTCTTAAAATACAATGTGTCAGGACTTTATTTTTGTAAAACACTGTGAGATCATATATTCCAAGGGACTGCATTGTCCAATGTTATTTGGGATTTTTCATATAGAGGTAAAAAGAAAAAAAAATCCTGTAAGCCAGTTTTTAGTAAAACACTTTCTTAAACTTGGGTTATTTTTTGACGGTAAGCAGCTCAGTATCCAGAATGTGATGAAATGTATATGCTTAGCAGAGTAGTTCTTGCTATATTTATTTATTTTAAAATAAGACCACTGAATATGAACCACATCTGTCAGTAGACATGGTACATTTTAAACTGACTTAAAAAAAATACTTTCAATATCAAGCCTCCTCTTAGTTTCAAGCTGTAATTAGCTTTTGAAAGTTATTTGGTTGGTTTGGAAACTACCTGTAAGCACACAACCTAAAGGAGAGAGAGTTGACATTTGCTTAGTGCTTAATATGCTCAATAACTTTTATTTTCTGTTCAGACTGCTGAATTGCCCAACGTGTTCTCTTCAAGACAAAATGTTCATAGGGAAGTAATTCCGTGATTTCTCAACAACTCACAGCCATAAGATAAGGGAAATGATTCTTTTTTTTTTTTTAAAGATTTTATTTATTTATTTGACAGAGAGAGAGATAGCAAGAGCAGGAACACAAGCAGGGGGAGTGGGAGAGGGAGAAGCAGGCCTCCCGCGGAGCAGGGAGCCCAATGCGGGGCTCGATCCCAGGACTCTGGGATCATGACCTGAGCCGAAGGCAGACGCTTAACGACTGAGCCACCCAGGTGCCCCAAGGGAAATGATTCTTACCTGTGATTTTTGCCACTCACAGCCTATTATATGCCAGAAACACTCTTGGGTGTTTGACGTGTTTGTTCTTGGGTTGTATCAATAGCTGGACCCCTCCCTCACCAACCCTTGCTCCCACACTTTGTTTTTGTTCCTGTCACACAACTAGTAAGGAATAAAATGGAATTGTATCCATTCTGCACCAAAGGATGTCTCAGGTGGGGCTTGCATTCACTTGTGAGGGAGAATTCAATTAAATTGTGACCTTCAAGAAATTAGAGACATTCTTTTTCTCATATAGCAATAAATCTAAAGGTAGGAGGTTGTTAGCACGGGGTCATGGGTTTGATTTTGTTCCCTTTCCCTCGGGGTTGCATGGCAGCTGCTCCAATTCCTATCATCACATCTACCTTACGGATGGGAGAGAAGATGGTGGTACTTCCGCACTTACGCTCGTGCCTCACTCTTTGCACAGAAGTGAATCATGTGGCCATACTTAGCTGAAAAATACTCCACGAAGTGAATTTTCCAGGTTCCCAATCTCAAGAGTTGAGGAAGGCCATACCGAAGAGGTTGGGTTGGGTATCTGAGTGGGCTAACCTGTATTTTATGTCACGTAGCCTACATTTTCCTATTAAATCAAGCTACCTTACATATAATGCTAAAGATTGTAATTTAAGGCAAAGAACCTTCTAGAATGAGAATTAATAATAGCACTTTTGAGCACTTCAATGTCTACGAAATGCAATAATCCACTGAGACATATATCACTGTTCCCACCTTACAGATGAGAATACATAAGTTAGGAGAAGCTTGGTTATCTACTTGTATGACCAGAAAGGAGAGAAGCTGAAAATTGAAAGTCTGAATCAAATGCTAACTAAACTTCAACAAATGAGCTCCACAGTATTTATTTCTAATCCTCTCATTTAAATGAAAACATACTTGGGACTTATAAAAAAACCTCTGAAAGATATTTTATTATCTTAAGACATTATGTGAACAAAATGACAATTGTGATCTTTATCAGTTTTTTCTTCTTTTCCATCATCACTGTTGTCTTTCAGCTTCTAAAAAAGTGAAAAATGAAGGAAAATGCACAAATAATAAACTGATATACTATGATGCTTAGTAATTGGTAAAGATGAACAGTAATTTAACCTTAATAATATACATAGAATCTTTACTACAAAAAAAAAATAAGTTGATTCTTGATTTGAGGATTGAAGCTGCCTACATTGATTTAGTATTCAATAAATATTTATTGAGTTCTTACTTTGTTCAGTTACCAAATATTGATATAAAATTGTCACCAATAACTCTTGATTGTATAAAATCATCTAAAAGTATTCATTTTCTTTTTTTTTTTTTAAGATTTTATTTATTTGACAGAGAGACACAGTGAGAGAGGGAACACAAGCAGGGAGAGTGGGAGAGGGAGAAGCAGGCTTCCTGCTGAGCAGGGAGCCTGATGCGGGGCTCGATCCCAGTACTCTGGGATCATGACCAGACGCTTAATGACTGAGCCACCCAGGTGCCCCAACAAATTCATTTTCTTATTTTAAAAATTTAGGTAAATGTGTTTTTTTTTTTTCCAATTTTCTAATATCGTGTAACAAACCAGCTCAAAACATAGGAACTAACAACAGCAAAGATTGATTATGTCTTACAATTTTAGGGGTTAGCAAACTGGGCTGATCTTCTGCAGCTATCCCCTGGGAACACTCATTAGCTGTTTTCATCTGATAACTTGACTGGGGTGAAAGGTACAAAATGGCCCCACTCACCTTGCCAGCAGTTGGTGCTGTGAATTGGGTACCATTTACCAGTAGGGTATACTGGTTTTTTTCCACAGCAAAAGTGGAAGCTACAGGGCCCCTGAAGGACTAGCTTGAGAAGTTACACATACAACATCACTCCACTGCATTCTGTTGATCACTGTAAGTCACAAGGTCATCCCATATTTAAAGAGATGGGAAAACAGACTCCACCGCTTGATGGAAGACATGGAAAAGTCACATGACAAAGGATTTGCATAGATGGATGGGTTAATTACTGTGGCCATCTTGAAAGAATTTTCCAAAGTCCACTCTCCACCTACAATAATTTATTCACATTCTTCTTTCATGAAAAAACTCTTAAACCTTCCCCCAAAGTCTTATCTTTGTTTTGATATCAGGCTCAGTCTCCAAATCTTTGCAATTTTAATCATGTCTGAATGTGGTTAAGGCTCCTCAGGGGTAGCAACTCTTGATCTAGACATCTGTGAACAAAAAAAAACTTGTCATCAGCCCCTCAAGCCCTCAACACTCAATGTACAGGAGACTATAAGCAGCAGACAGTCACTGGTCTTAATTAATTCTGAAACCCATCTGGGAGCATATCACGGAGCTCCTTCTCCAGGGAGTAGGGTTGTGACAATTTCTATTTTCTGGGAGTGATTCCTTTGTTCATTGTATTTTTTCAGCTTTTGGCTCTACCTTCTGGGCACTTGGCTCCATCCTCTGATGCCATGTTTGAAAAGAGTCTACCACACTCTTCAAAAATCTGAATTATTGGGGCACCTGGGTGGCTCAGTCGTTAAGTGTCTGCCTTCTGCTCAGGTCATGATCCCAGGCTCCTGGGATCGAACCCCACATCGGGCTCCCTGCTTGGCGGGAAGCCTGCTTCTCCCTCTCCCACTCCCCCTGCTTGTGTTCCCTCTCTTGCTGTGTCTCTCTCTGTCAAATAAGTAAATAAAATCTTTAAAAAAAAATCTGAATTATTATAAAATATATAGAAAACTTATTAGAAGTACATGAAATAAACACAATTTTAAATCTCGAGTTATGTTTAATAACTTCTAGTTACCTAGATATATGTCAATGATAATTAAAATTTCAGAAATGACTTTAGGTTTAATTAGTGTCTGGTTTCTTGTGCAGTATTTTCTGAAACAGTGATAATGTCTATTTTCTAGCAACATCTAGTGGATACATAACCCTTTATATATACAAAATAAAGTCTGTCAAACTATAATAATTGGGACAAATAATTATATTTCACTAAGTTGCTAACATCATGGATAATTTCCAATTCAGCTGAACTCTAAATGCATTTGTTGAGCCCCTATTAGTTGTTGATGATTGTCCAAGCCTTATGGAGACACAGTGAGGCACTTAGCCTGATCACAGGGGATGCAGAAAGCAGTGATTTATGAAAGACTTCTTGGAACAAAATGACTAAGCTAGACCTTAGAGGATGTGAAAGCGTACCTTCTAAGAGGAAGGAACAGCATTATCGAAGTTATGCAAACTTGAGTTTATATGATGTACACAGGGGACTGATACTCTCCACTCAGCATTAGATTCAAATGCAAATCTTTCAGAAACGCTCTCACAGAAACACTCAGAAATAACATCTAACCAGACATCTGGGCATCCCATGATCCAGTCAAGTTGACACATGAAATTAACCATCACAGCAGTTAACCTGATAATATGGAGGGATGGTCTACTGGACCCATAATAAGAGAAAATACATAATAGGGGTAAAGTGCTGTTATAGAAACTTCAGCAAATGCACTAAACCAACAACTAATACATGATGTTGTTCTCCCTTAACCAGAGTACATAGGTCCAGGAAACAAAAGCTAGAAATAGGAATGGCATTTTTCACTCCTACACTGTAGTTGTTTACTAGGGCTACCATAACAAAGTACCACAAACTAGGTGGCTTAAACTGCAGAAATTTATTATCTCACAGTTCTGAAGTTTGTTGTACAAGATCAAGGAATCATCAGAGTTGGTTCCTTCTGAGGGCTCTGAGGAAGAATTTACCTAGCTTCTGATGGTTTGCTAGCAATCTTTGGTATTCTTTGGCTTGTAGAAGCATCACCCCAATCTCTACCTTTATCTTTATAGGGCTTTCTCCCCATGTATGTGTTTCCATGTCCAAATTTCACCTTTTTATGAGGACACTGTCATATTGAATTAAGGTCATTCTGTGTAAAGATACACAAAAGATCTGTATTGCATACTTCTAATCAACTACTTATAAAAAGAAAAAAGCTAAGTAACTCTGTATATGATACTTTAGAACACTTTTGGAGAACTAAAGAATGTAATGATGTTGGTTGATTGCTCCTAATGTCCTCAGACAAAGTGGTAAAAGAAAAGGATGAGCTCAGGGTCACCTGAGTGGCTCATTCGGTTGAGCATCCGACTCTTGGTTTTGGCTCAGGTCATGTTCTCAGGGTCCTGAGATCAAATTCTGCATGGGCTCAACACTCAGTGCAGAGTCTGCTTGAGAGTCTCTCCCTCCTCTCTGCCCCTCCCCCCCACTCATGAGTGTGCGCTCTCTCTAAAATAAATAAATATAAATAAATAAATAATAAATAAATAAAATCCTAAAAAATAAAAAAAAAAAAGAAAGACAAGAAAGGAAGAGAGAAAAGGATGAGCTCAGGAATTTGAATTCCAGGTCACATACTATATAAATGAGTTAAGAGCTTATAGGGGTCCCCTGAAGGAGACCCTCATCTCCAAAAGCCCTACAACTGCAATTGCTGAACAACAAACATAGACCCTCATCCTGCAAATGGATGAATTACAAGGCAAGTTGAACTCTAAGCCTCACAGAGTGTCTACTGCTAATGTGAGGGCATTGGGAAAGAATGGGATCCTGGAAGTTGGGATGGGAGGCAATGATGAAGCTGGGGACAGTAAGCCCCTAAATTCTTTTTTTTTAAATTTTATTTTATGAATTGTGTAAGACTGTTGAATCACAGACCTGTACCTCTGAAACAAATAATACATTATATATTAAAAAAAAAAAAAAGAAGATAGTAGGACGGGAAAAATAAAGGAGGGGAAATTGGAGGGGGAGATGAACCATCAGAGACTATGGACTCTGAGAAGCCCCTAAATTATGATGTGTCTTCTTTGCCAGTGGAAAAGTCCTCCCTGCTCCCAGTGGACTTGGCTCCCCCACTCCAGCAGGGTGTCCTCCCCAAACACAATAACAGAGTCATCCCCACCCACAGGGATGGGGTTTCACCTGTCTGAGATTAACCCTGCATTGCCTGAGGAAACCGTAACAGGTGCTGTGGAAGACATGTAGTCTGGTCTTCTCAGAACCCACGGCCACCACCCATCTTTGCTTCTAGGCTGGTAATTTGACTCAAGTCCCAGAGGGCCCCTAGAGGTGAGGTGAAAAGTATAATGCAAAAGGAGGTGTGCTACACTCCAAAACAAAGAGTTTTCTAATTTCTAAAACAGAAATCAGGGGAACGTATCTGAAAATGGACATTAAAGGAAGTGGAATAATAGTAGAAAGAACATAAAGTTGAATCAGGCAGAATTATGGGCTCTCTAAACAAAGATTCTACATTTAATGATTTAATGTTGTAGCTTGGGGAATAAGAAGGGGCTCTAATATACAAAACCAGGCATCAAAAGATGGCCCACTGTGAGCAAACTGGAAATGTCTGACCTCCCTTGGTTTAATGTTCAGGAAATGTTTCAAAAGCTTAGGAAGATTGGAATGTTAGGGTAGATTTGTCATTTAAGGCATACTTACTCAAATGCGAGGTTCAAGACATACACCTTCACCAATACTTTGAACAATAAATTTGTGAGGGGATTCCCAGCATCCTTGTGAAAGCTCTTCTCTGAAGGCCAGATCTTACAGAGGGACTCATAGTCACTAAATTGGAAAATTTAAATTCAGTGGATGTAATTGGACCCCAGGATGGCAGGACCAAGCGGCAGCACTCAACAGTCAAAGACCAGGTGGATGTACTTACCTTAAAGGACAGCAGAGTTAAAACAGCAATCAGGATCATGTGACTTGCACAGACCTGTGGTGTTGGCTAGTTAACCATGGTGTTCCTAAAAGTGAAATAAATAGTAAGCCTACTATTTTTTTTTTAACTTGATCTGTATAAGCGGACAACTTCTAGATAAAGTAAATATAAGTCTAACTCAAATCATAAAAACAGGGTCATAACCCCTGAATCAATTCCCAGGCATGAGCCAGTTTATAGACCCACCACCTTCAATGTAGGGAAGGCCAGATCCCCTCAAAAGAGGACCCCACTACACTACTGAAATTTTATCCTGGTAATTTTTCTCCCAATCTTCTCCCAAAGGGACCTATGGCTTTTAACCAGGGTAACTGTGCATTAGGGAAAAGGAAATTGCTTCTTTCTGGGACTACTAGATACTGGCTCTTAATTGACACTGATTCCAGTATTCTATCTGTGGTTACTTCCCAAGTTACAGAATGCATACTTGGAATAGACATACTTAACAGTAGGCAGAATCCCCACACTGGCTCCCTGATCTGTGGAGTAAGGGTTATTATGGAGAAAGACCAAATGCAAACCATTTGAACTGCCTCTACCTAGAAAAACAGTAAATCAAAAGCAATACTGGGGTGTCTGGGTGGTTAAACGACCGACTCTCGATTTAGGCTCAGGTCATGATCTCAGGGTCTTGGGATGGAGACCCGGCTAGGGCTTCATGCTCAGCGGGGAGTCTGTTTCCGTGATTCTCTTTCCCTTTCCCTCTGCCTCTCCCCTGCTCTCTCTCTCTCTAATAAATAAATAAATCTTAAAAATAAAAGCAATACTGCATTCCTGGAAGGATTGTGTCACCATCAAGAACTCAAATTTTACTTGCTAAAAATGTCTTATCTGTCTTTAGATGATACCTTTGTAAAATACAGTAAGGATGAATTCCTGAGAAGATTTAATGAATAAAAGACATAAAACTACAGGACCATTTTTAAAAGTTATTAGATAAAATGGACCAAAAATTACTCATTTTACACTTTTCTAAATTTGACACATACTGTAACTCTCTCAACACATCCTGATAGTAACAGCTTACAAACAGGTACTGCACTCTACTTTGATAGCGCAGCCGTGGGACACTGCCTACCATTTGAATTGGTAAATACCAGGAAAGGCCAGTGGGAATTTACAGCTCACCAGATGCATTTCCCTCATTCTGAGTCTTGTGACCCCAAATGTTGGCTGCACTCCTTGTTCTGCAATCTTTGCTTTTATTTTTGTTTTTCAATCCAGCTTTTCATTTTTCTCCAAAGGAGTATGAGTTGAATACCACCTGCACCATCCTAGTTGGAAGGAACTATTCCAAACTATTCAAGTTGTTTTTAATATTTGTTTTTCTATTTCCTTTCACTCGTTGCACCTTCGTGAAGACAATGATCAATCTTACTCTATCTTAGGGTCAATAAATTACAACCTACTACATGTAGCTTGATTTTGTTAATAAAGTTTTATTGGAATACCAGCCATACCTATTCCTTTACTTGTCATTTATGGGTGATTTCACTACAATGGCCAAGTTGAGTTATGAAAGAGAATGTATGACCTGCACACCTAAGATATTTACTATCTCCCTCTTTATAAAAAAAGTTTGCCAACCTCTGCTGTACATCATTCATATTTTTCTGTAACTCCTAGAATTTTCAGGCATTCATGCAGTCATGCACTCATTGAACAAACATTTATTAAAAGTTGCCCATGTACCAGGAACTGAGCGATATTTTTGAGATATAAAGATAAAAAGATACACTCTTTTTCCATGTAATGTATGTCCACTATGCACAATAATGTCTATTGACTGAATTTTAGAAGTTTTGAGTGTTGGCTTTATTATTCCAAGTTGGAAGCATTATTAATCTATTATCTGAGTCCTTTGTGTCCTTATTATGATTTTATTTCTGATACTGTCAGAGAGAGATGAGATCTAGAACATAAAATTTGCTAATTTGGTCATTCCAACTCATATCCATCACTTCTTTTATCATAGTGATCTTTGATTTAAACATACATTTATATTTTGTAATACTAGAAATACAAATATTTTAAAAGCTGTACTTTTTTGGTATACATCATAAAAATATAGAAACTTTAAGATTTCTGTCTGGTGAAAATAGAATCCATTTTTTTTTTTCTTCCAACATCGTCCAGATTTGAGTTTCTCATTTTACTAATAAACATTCAAATAACAATTAGCTGTTGATAAGGCAGAATATTTCCTGGCTAAAGCTGCTTCTCATTTGCATGGTACATTTCTTCATTTCATCATCTATCTTAAATAGAGAATATATTATGATCCGAATGATTTATTTTTAATTTTTTGAATCACTTATTTTCTTCACATTCTTTAAAATAAGATGACAATCTGGAATCTGACCCTTTCACACAAAAAGGGAACACTCCCCAGTGTACAATGTGATGACCTGACATCACATAAACCAAAAGCAGACACCTGGATCTCTTGTTTCCTCTGGAAGCATTTTATTCTCTGGCATTGTCAGCAAGAACTGTCACCTAATAAATACACATAATGGGAGATTCATGAATCTTTGTAGCATGAAAAAAGTGTTTTGGTAGCAGCAGAAATGCAATTAAACACAGCTTCAATAATATCTTGGAAGAAAGTAAAAAACAAACCTGTGGCAACATTTCCCAGGCAATGCTAAATATGCAACTTTTCCATCTCACACTTAAAATATTTCACTGAAGCCTTAGGAATGCACATAACAGGTACAGCATAGGGCATATGGTCCATGGCGTTGTAATAATGTTTTATGGTGACAGATGGTGGCTACCCCTGTGGTGAGCATAGCCATAGCATAATGTATAGACTTGTTAAATCGCTATGTGATATACCTGAAACATTGTGTGTCAACTATACTTCAATTAAGAAAAAAGAATTTAGTCTAGAAGTCTTGCTCTTGATAAGTTCTTGACATCTGAATGTTTATTCTACTTGCTTGTCAAGGCAGCATTTTAACTCTTAGCTGATGGTTCATTAATATTAATATTTAATTTGTGTTTATCAATTATTACAACTTTTCTAACAGGAGCTTGTTAGAAATGTAGATTCTCAGGCTCCAACCCAGACCCAGTGAACTGGAATCTCTTTAACTGAGATGCACAGGTGATTCCTAGGCATATTAAAGTTTGCAAAGCGCTGGCTAAGCTTTTGAAGCTGGGGGAGCATGAAATAATTCCCAACAATGTTGAGGAGAATTTCTAGGGTGTTATCTTCTTTTGGAACAAGATCAATGGTTTTGGTGTGAGGATAAAGAGGGGTGGGTAGAGAGTGGGGTTTGGGAGCTGGTGAAGAGAACTGAACATGGCTTGCGTTTGCCAAGAGGATCTCTATTTCCTCTGGCAAGGATCTCCTGGTTGCAGAAAATGTCCTCCATTAAGAGAATGCAGGAGTCATACACTTATCTATGATACTCCTTATTGCTCCTCGCCTTCTTTGGAGCACAAGCAGTTCCAGAAAGCTTCCCCATGCTCCAGGGCACTTCAATTCTTGTATGGTTATTCATATATAGGTTAAACCTCCCCTAGCAGGTGGATATCATCTGAGGGCAGGACCCATGTTTTTTAAGTCTCCACATGGCCAAGGATAAAACCATGTACATAGGTAAGTTCTAATTAATATATGTGGAAAGGAAAAAAAGGAAATATTCGAAGGCTAGAAGACTGAAAGGCAGGGAGAGAAAAAAAAAAGGAAGGAAAGGTCTCACATACAAGATGAATTGGTAAGTTTGATCCAGATAAAGAATTTTTCAATAGAACTAATAATCAATATAACTGATAAAATGACCATAAAGAAGACTTAAAGCTACCATTTATTGAGCACTTACACTCTGCTAACACTGTGCTTTTATATATATTGTGCCATTTATTCTCGACACGAATCCTCTGAAGTGGGCACCGGCATGGAAATCACCTCTGGAGACTGTTAGAGTCAGACTCCAGGGCACAACATCCAGACAGACCCTTGTGTGTATTCAGTAGATGTTGGGAACCTGGAATTTGCACTTAAGCAAACATCCAAGGTGATTTGGATGCACCAGACTTTGATGACTTGCCTAGACTTTAGGTTTCTATTTATATAATTTAAGAAACCATTAATGTGTCTGGCAGCCACATCGCAGTTTTCTCATATTAATTTTGCTGTCAATCAGAAACTTATTTTTTTACACTAACTACTTTGAAGACAGGTACTATCTCCCTTTCATATTGGTACAGTTCAAACTGAGAACTGCAATGGTTTTATGCCCATTCCTGTTCAACTTCATGTGGTGAATGCTGACTTCTAGTCCAGTTTGTTGAGAATTTGGTGTGTGGGGGGGTATTTATCCTTTTATACAATGAATTATCATCCCATCTTCATCTTGGATCATCCATACATTTGACAAGTGTGCTCCCTATTTGTAAGTCAATAATACATCTCCTAAAAGAAGAGGACAGAAGACAGAATGCTGTGATCTCATTAGATGCTTCCTTAAAGGTGAATGCACACCCATTAATCAAGAATCTTCAGCTATGATTATTCTACCAACTACAAATTCACATATCTCACCTTCTCTCCTGTCTTTATTCTCCAATGGACTAATTAGGGAAAACGGCACATTTTCTTAAATGCCTTGTTGATCAGGTTACAAAATTTCTATTTCTTCCCCTTTTTGTCCTAGTATAAGAAGTCATATAGAAGGAGGTTTTTTTCTAGGAATCAATCCATTATACATTTTTGAACATCTAGCTGGGTCTGGGCATTGTCTTGTATTTAATGGACACACACTAGTCTTGGTGGGGGGGGGTTCCTTGCTTCTCTTCTAGGTGGTCACAAACCATCTATGCAGTAATACTCTCTGGAACTGAGTAAGACAGAGCATGTAAAGATGAGACATGTGCTTCCTCCCTAAAGGAAGTGGTTTTCAATTTGTTCTCCATGGAGTTTTAGGTACTCAAAGGAGGTGTCAAGAGGATCACTTTAATAGAAAAGGTCACAGGGGGCATTTCTGTGGAAACTTTCATTATGTAGTTGAGACA